GATGGGAGGGAGGGGTAGGACGTCAGATATGACACGAGCGCACCTAGCCTGACAATGACACAATATGAATATTACTCCCCCCTCTCCCCCGATGACGTCCGGAAGATATCTGGCCCCCCTCCGCGCACTGTTTTTTATACACAAGATTCCCGGGAGTTGGGTTTTCGCTTGGGTTTGTTTTCAAAATGCTGATCCCGCTGAGGCGCTGGCCTCATTGTCGGGCTTCCGCTCATTCCGAACTGTGCTCCCGCTGCAGCGCTGGCCTCATTTCCGCGCTTTGGCTCGTTCCGAATCGTGCTCCCGCTGCAGCGCTGGCCTCAGTTCCGCGCTTCAACTCGATCGGAATCGTGCTCCCGCTGCAGCGCTGGCGTCCTTACTTCCACTGCCATGCCACGGCATGGTGATCGGTCCTTCCAAATAGGCCCCAGAATCTAGAAAATGACGCCCCGAAAAAAACATCGGAAGTGATTACACATTCGGTGTCGATTCGTTGATTTTCGGGGGCCGCAGAACCCTCCCTTTGGAGCGTCGACGCGCCATGCTATGTCATGCTACGCGTTGATCTTCAACACCATGCTGTGCCATGTAATGCTATGCCCTGCTACGACATCCGACTGTGCGACTAGAGAGAAGATCTACGACATGGTATGGGATGCGAGGGAGGGGTAAGACGTCAGACATGCCGCGAGCGCACCTCGCGTGCCCTACTTTGGAGTCCCGAAACGGTGCGGTGACGGACCGTGACCTCGGAATCCCCCCAGACCTCACCGCACGGTCCGTCACCGCACGGTTTTGGGACCCCGGAGGCCCCTGTCGCCCGAGACGTCCTCGGAGAAGGACTCGAGTCCCAAAACCGTGCGGTGACCCCGAATCCCCACCGACTCAACGCACGGTGTGGTCACCGCCCCGTTTGGGGGCCCCACCTACCCCCTCGCCCTGGTCCTATCCGGGGTGGGTCGCGGGCAGTTACAGCGTCCAAACTCAGGTTTTTGGCCACACGTTGTCCTCCTAGGGGGAGGGGGCGCCGGGCGCCGCAAATTTACTACGGCCCCTCCTTTGATCAATCTCCTCCAAGATGGCCTCAAGATGGCCCCCGAGTCCCAAGAGGTACCCAGGAGGCTTCAAGAGGCCCTCAAGAGGCCCCAAAGGTGCCCCCAAAATGCTTCCAAGCGACCTCCAAGACGCCCCAAGAGGCCCCCCAGAGGCACCCAAGACCCACCAAGAGGCCTCGGCGAGAATGCCAAAATCACTGATTCTATGAATGAGTTGGCCACAGTTTGGCCTCCTTGGGGGGGCGGCTAATCTCACCAGCCTTCTGGGCGTGAGTGGTTTGGAGCGTTTCCTCTTCCACCGCCCATTATTCTGCTTCGGCCCCCCCTCTGGGCCCGGAGGGGACGCAGCGAGGGGATAACAGCGTCCAAAGCGGCCCTGGCAAGAAGGCAGAAATCAAGGATGCTACTAGGGTGTTGGCCACATGTTGCCCTCGTGTGGGGGGGGGGAGGGGCTGATTTACTATGGCCCCTGCTTTGATCAATCTCTTCCAGGATGTCCCCAATATAGACCCCGAGGCTCCCACGAGTGCCCCAAGAGGGCCCCAAGAGGCGCTCAGGAGGCCCCAAGAGGCTCCCAAGATGACCCCAAGATGTCTCCAAGAGGCCCGCAAGAACTCCCAAGAGACCCCCACGAGGCCCGAAGAGGCCCCACCGAGGCACCGAAGACGCTTCAAGAGGCCACCAGGACCGCCACGAGGCCCCTTGGGGCCCCAAGAGGCCTACAAAAGCTCTCAAGAGACATCCGAAGAAACTCCGAGAGGCATCCAAGAGGCCTTTGGCCTTTCTGCTCGCCCTCCTCCTTCTCCTCCTCCTCCTCTTCCTCGTCCGCCTTCCCCTCTTCCATTCTACCTCCTCCCCCCTCCCTTCTCCCCCGTCCCCTCCCCCTCCCCCTCTGGTTCCTCCTCCATCCTCCCCCTCTGGCATGATGGATTCCAATCATTTTTTCCATTGCGTGCTCCCTCACACGCCTGATTCAGGCAACTCTCCTGGGCATCGTTGCTGGATGGGTTGGTGGGGGTACTTTTTCGGTCGGCGGCCGCTCGACAACGGTCTGGCGGCAACAGGCGATGTCCGGGACGGCGGCACAAAGCTAATTGCACACAACGCATGCGGTGCACGTCCATTGAGCAAAATGCTCCACATTCACAAGCAGTCGCACCTAGGCGCCGCCCAGTAAACCAAAGTGTACAAGCGGCCACGAGTGCGAGCGCAACGGAGTGAGTCGCCCTTGCGGCGCCAAGCTCCAAGCAGCTTCCCAGGCTGACGACGATGCACGAGCCGGGGTGACAGGCTGCTGGCGGTGGAAAACAAGGGCCGTCGGCGCAGAAAGCTGAACCACTCAGCGCCCAGCCGTCAAACTCCACCGCAGAGTTGGGGGGACCGGCGGCAACCGACGGACGAGTCGGCACCAGCGGAGAAAGCCCGGGAAGGTGCGACGATGCGGAAAACGCGGGCTGTACCGGGCGGCAACACTCAGGCCAGCATCCCGTCACAGTAACCCTCAATGTCGGTGGATACCATCGACACTCCGAGTACCACAGCGCCGACCTGCTGCGACGAGCCCCACCATTGCCAGCCGCGTATGTATGGGGCGATCCGTGGATGGGGGATCCTCCGAGCAGCATACCCGCCTGGCCACCCGCTCAGGCTACTGCAGCCGCCGCGGGCGAGCCCCGGGGGCACAGTGGAGGACATCCACCAGGCCACGCAAACGGCGCCGCCCCACACCGTGGCCAGCCTGCGGCCCTCAGAGTGCGCCTTGACGAGGAGAGGGGGGGCGCAGCTAACCGCCGCAAGAGACACGCAACTTGATAGCAGCTGCACGCCGAGAGCGTCTACACGTGTAAGGGGTGCAGCTAACCGCCGCAGAAGACACATAGAAAGATGGGGGGGTGGCAGGACTACGCCGATGCAGCCCGAGCTGGAGTGTGCCAGCGTCGGACGCGCCACATGGGGGGTACATGCCCAGCAGCCTTACGCAACATAGCTGGAGCTGTAAACTGCCAAAGTACCGGCTGAGCGGCGTGCAGGGGGGCGACTATTTCAGGCGACTAACCCCTGCTACCGGCAGCGGGCGGCTGTCAAGTGGACTGCAAAGGGAGGTGCGCTGGGGGGGTGCATCTAGCTGGTGGGGGCACTTTTTTGATTCGCGGCCCGCAAGGAAAAGTCCAGAGGGCGGTATGAACGAGACTGGTGGGGGTACGCGAAGCGTCTAGAATTGTGGTCCGGCACGGTTTGGGATTGTCAGGGTGCAACAGTCACGTTGGTTCGCGGTGCTGAAGTCCCAGGAAAGGTGTGCTGGCACGAGTCAGGATCGCCAGGACGCTACAGAAATTGGCCCGCGGCGTCGAAGCCCAAGGAGTGGTGTTTCGGCACAATCTAGGATTCACAGCCGGTTGTCTTCCAACGGAGCACCTCCAGCAGTGAAGATATACTCTTGTAGCGACCTGTGAAGAGAGAACTCGGGGGGAGGGTTTGTTGAAACATCCTTGGAACGTCTTGGGTTTTCACTGGTCCTCCTCCTCCTCCGCCTGCTCCTCCTACACCTCATCCTCTTCCTCCTCCTCCTCCGCCTCCTCCGTCATCCTCATCTCCACCCTTTCCTCCCTTCACATATCCTCTCACTCCCACCCCTCAATCAACACCCCCCCTCGCCTGACACCCCTTTCCATCCTCAATCCTCCGCCTCATGTTACGAATCCTGCTCCTCCTCCTCCTCATCATCCTCCTCCTGATCCACATCCTCATCCTCCTCCTCCTCCTCCTCCTCCTCCTCCTCCTCGTCCTCCTCCCTCGCTCCCTCGCTATTTAGCTCCCTGCCTCTCTCCATCCATCCATCCATCACTCCCTCGCAGAGCCCTCCCCTCCTTCCTTCCACCCTCAACCTCACTGCTCGTACCTCCAACCTCCCTCTGTTCCCCCTCCTTCATCCCACCATCCCCCCTCCATGTTCTTGTTTCCAGCGCCATGTTTGGGAGAGGGACTGGAAATTGTCGCGTCCTCCCCCCTTATTTTCCTCAATCATTGAGTCAATCCCCCCACTCTCTCCATCCTCTGACTCCGTCCTGAACTAAACGCGCCCTCGCAGTGGCAGCACAAGTCCAAGACATGTTCTGTGCATAGAGCTGCTTAGCATGTGGCCCGGTTCTGGTGCGCTTCGTGCTCATTGATCGTGCCGCCAGATGGGTACTGATGCAGTGTGGTTCGTTCACGTGCAGTACTCCGCTGCGCTGCTGTTCGGCACATCTACACCATGCTTCGTGTACACCATGGGCCATGATGGAGGGCTACTGGAAGTGTATTTGCGGTGAGTGAGCATGGGCCCGATGCGTTTCAAACTTCTCTGGACGCCCTACACTACATTGAGATGGCGCACACTCTATGCCTGCAGTGCCAGCATACGCAGGCGCGGCGGCAGGCTACTGGGAGCAGCAGTTGGAGAAGCCCGAAAAGGCAGGCCACTGCTGAGGACGACAACGATAGAAACAAAAAAACTGCACAAACAGAAAATGTTGGCGCTCCGCGCGGACTTCTTGGATCTACGCTGGACCCCCTCCCTGGCGCGAGGGGCGGCGCTGGAGGCGCCGCCCGGGGGGGGGCTCAACGCGGATACAAAAAATCCGCGCGGAGCGCAAAAAGTTCATGCTTATGGTGCAGCGTTTCCAGAAGTCGCCGAAGAGCAACTAGATCGCGAAGGAAGGGCCAGCAAGGCGGAGGAGGAGGAGGAGGAGGAGGGAGGGGAGGAGGAGGAGGAGGAGAGGAGGAGGAGGAGGAGGGAGGAGGGAGGAGGGAGGAGGAGGAGGAGGAGAGGAGGAGAGGAGGAGAGGAGGAGGAGGAGGAGGAGGGAGGAGGGGGAGGAGGAGGAGGAGGAGGAGGAGAGGAGGAGGAGAGAAGGAGGAGGAGGTGGAGGAGAAGGAGGAGCAGGAGGAGGAGGGGGGCGGTGCCAGCCTGCCGAGGTGCCGCAGGAGGGCTTTCTCCGTTCCGCAGGTGTACCCGCACTTGCACCTGGCACGGGTTGATGGGCCTGTGTTCCACCACCACCGCCATAAGCTGGAGGAGGAGGAGGAGGAGGAGGAGGAGGAGGAGAAGGAGGAGGGGGGGGAGGAGGAGGAGCAGGGGAGGAGGAGGAGGAGGAGGAGGAGGAGGAGGAGGAGGACCCCCTCCCCCTCCAACTTATGGTGGTGGTGGTGAAAAACAGGCCCATCACGGCTTACTCCTCGTTATGAGCATCGCTCCGCTTCCTCCTCGGCCGCGACCCCCAGAGCCTCATGGAACTCTCAAGAATGCCCTGGAACCCTCCCACTCCCCCTCTCCATCTCCCCCTCCTGATCTCTCATGCCCTTCGACTCCTCCTCTTCCTCTCCGGCATATGGGAGGGGGGAATGAAACGAAATGGACGTTGCCGGCGCGGTTCGCCTGAGATGTTCGAACAAATTATTGTCCGAGACACTGGAGGGAAGGTCGCCTTTCGAATCCTGGCTGTCGCCAGAAACGTCCAGGCATTGCAAGATCCTGGCTTCAAATGCTAAGCGGATGAAGGGCGGGTCGTTTTCTGAGCTATGGCTCTCGCCTGAAACTTCCTCGCTAATTGATTGCTTAAAATCGGGGCATTCCAACAATTGCGTGCATCAATGGAGGACAAGTCGTTCTCAAAACGCGGTTCTCACCGGAAACACCCTCGCACGTTGTGACCCGTAAGCTTTTCGGGTGCCAGCAGTTGCACGGAACTTTCCCAAAATTGGTTCTCGGCTGGGATCTCCTCGCGTGTATGAGCGCACAACTTGAAGTATCAAACATATGCGAGTGGATGGAGGGCGGTTCCTTTGAAAAACGCGCTGGCGCTTAAGATCTAAATTGAAAATGTCAGCACATCACACATCAGCAACTCCAGTAGTCACACAGTTGAAGTGGGCGGTACATCTTGAAGTTCGTTCTATCCGTCTGATGCATCAGCTAGAAGAATAGGAAGCGACTGCCTCACAGAAACGTTGTGCTTGAGCACGATACGCGATCCTAAACTGATGCGACCATTGACCCGCACTTCGAAGATTGGGCCCTGAGATGGGGGTCCTGGGGTGAGGAGACCTGGCACAATTGAAACTCAATTCTGCAGCCCTTCCCGGTCCCCGGGGCACTAGCCCTCGGGGCCCATCTCCGCGAACACCCCTCTTGGCTCGCACTGGAATGCAGACAAAGCTCTTGCCGTTGCAGCTCTGCCACCCCGTACGGCCAGGCCACCAGGCTCCTGACTCTTCTGGCCCTTCCAAGCCCCGAGCCTCTGGCGGGCCACGAGGGGGGGAGTGCAGGGGGGTGGTCACCAGATCAGCTCGTCTAGCTGGTGTAACGGCGCCTCCCGGCGCCAGGAGCGACCACGCATCGAGGATCCTGCCAGGCGGAAGGGCTGAAGCCCGCCGCATGCAGCAGACGTCGCAAACCTCCACTCTCCAAATCCCCGCTTCGTCCGGCACGAATGCCATTAACCTGTGGCAGCCCCATGAATCCCTCACATTTCCAGCAGACGATCGCCGTAGTGAAAGAGAACACCTGGAGCGTCTTGCGAAGGAGGAGCTCGAAACGGAAGTGTTCGACGACGACTGGGCAACTTGTGCTGAATTTGCTCAGCAAGCCGGCTCCCCCTCCTCCACCCGATCCGTGCCTCGCACTGTGGTTTGCCCTGCCCCGCCCTGCCATGCCCTGCCCTGTCCCCGCCCAAAGGGATCTGAAAATCAAATTCTGCCCTGCCTTGTCCTGCCCTGCACTGCCTGTCTGGGAACCCCCGGAAAAACCTCACGGGCTTGGCGACACGCTGAGGATGGCACGGCTGCAGAACCAAAACAAAAACAGAAGTGTCGAGAAGCCCACGCGGACCTCCGCAAGTTCCCTGAACGGTGCCCGCACTCAGGGGATCCTGCTTCTGCGCTGCAAGCGTGAGCGTGACTGCCACGGGGTCCCGCCGAGGGGTCCTCCGCATGTATTGCGCCACGGGTGGTGCTGCTTTTGAAGGGGCCCTGGAACACACAAATAAAATAGACACACAAAAAACAGGTTTCCCCATATACTCCTGTCTGTTCTGGGTTTTTGCCCTCCCCCCACCACTTCCCGTATTTTCCCATATTTTCCGGGGAATCGACGATTCAATTGTGTCTGTGTGTTTGCTCCCTCCTGAGCTTCGTCGAGGTCCTGCCCAGGGCCTTGCACTTGCCCACTTGCCACTGCTGCCAGGGCCCCCCACACCAAAGACTGTCTGCGCCTGTGCCGGTTTCGCGGGGGCGGCCGTCCGAGGGCTCGGGCGGTCGGGGCGCTGCTTGGAGACGCCGCGGGCCTGGAGGCCGACACCAGCACCGGTATCGGCGGCGTGCCTCCTCCGAGGGAAGGAGACCCCGACCTCGGCGATGGTGAAACTGTCTGGCTTCCAAGGTGACCGAGACATGATAGCGCCGACACCCCCAAACCTGGGTGGGGTCCTCTTCCCCCTGTGGAGGCAAACCCCCCTGTGTCGGTGTTGGTGCCCGTAAAAACCAGGCCTCCGAGAACGGATCGGCCCCGTGAGAGCAGCTCCGCCCCGTGCCCTCTTGAGGTGTGAGGAGGCCGTCATTTGTTGGAAGGCTGCCGCCTCCCGCCCTGCCCCATTTTGCCGGACCTCAGACGTCCTGACTTTCTGTGCAGTGCCGCCGATGTTTTTTTTCTCCACGCGTCCCTCAGGAGCGAAAGGCACAGTTTGGGGCCTAGCTCCGCCGACATGTACGAGGATCGCTCGGGGAAGAACCTGAGGAGGGCCCTCTGGCGCTCTCAGCCACTTCCGAGTGCAAAGTGGTCCTCCTGCTACGATTTGAACTGCACGGGGGCCCTGGAGTTCTTATCCCATTCCAGGGGTTTAGGCGTCTCGCCCTGTGCGTAATTTGTCCGATGGCCTCTGGATCCGCAAAACTGTCCACATAGCCCGAAGTTCGAGAAGCACGCCCGCATTGAGGAGGTCACGACGACGGCGGTATGGAATTTGCGCGCTGGTGGTTGGCCGCGCGCAGTGGGGTCAGAGCGAGGGAGGCGGCCTTTCGAAGAAGGCGTGAGGCCACTTCGAAGGGGTCGGAGGCTTTTGGCCCTTCGCAAGGGGCCCAGTGAGGCTGCTGCAATTGACAACGTGTGAGAATCAAGCGACTCGAACTGCGGCCGCTCCTATTCCAGGGCCCCCCGTGCCACGCCCGACAAAAATCCGCTCGAGACGGGCCCCCCAGACGCCTCCCCAGGCCCAAGGTGGCAAGTTGCTAGAGTTGCGCGAAGCCGCGGCCGCCCAGGCCCCCCCGCGGGGGCCCAGAAGCCGCAGCCCTGCCCCCAGCTGCGCTCGGCGGTGGGGGGTGGCGGATCGCCTGCGCGCAGCGGGCTTCCCTTCGGTGGCAACTCAGGGGAGCCTCCCATACCAGCTTATCGGCTCTTGCGAATCGACGCTAATCGACGCTAAGTCCAAGCGAATCGACACTAGCCGACGCTAAATCGGCGCTATCCCATCGACTCGCGGACGCTAGTCGGCGCTAATCGACGCTAAAGACGGAATTAGGGGGGTATACCAAGCTCACATGATTTGCTGCCGAACTTCCCCTCGGCGGCGAGCCCAGGTGAGAAGTCAGAGGGGGCGGGCCTTCTCAGAAGGCTCGGGTGGCCTCTTGCCTTCTCGGAAGTTCGCTGAGCCTTCTCCGAGGACGGGGACGGCAGGCCGCAGGGCCTCTGCGACGCCCCGCCGCCATCTGAGAAGGTCCGTCTCCTCTCACTCTCCCCCTGGCCTCGCCGCCGATCCCGGGCGCCTTGCCGCGCCGGAGGCGGCCGAATGCACGCCCGCCGAGATCTGAACCCGGAGCCCACTGACGCACCATGCGAGACTCACGAAAGCCACACCCAAGAGAAACAGTGGTGCCAGCACTCTTGGTCTGTGCGAGGACCAGCGCGCCACCCTGCTTCTATCAGGGGAGTGCATTGGAGCCGCTTGTCCTCAGCATACTAATCGGCCTTGGCTCTGATGTGCAAACCGACGAAGACGCACACGTGGAAAGTACAAGCTGTTTCAGTAACGACTTCCTCCTGGCGATCAAGCAAGCTTAGACTGACAGGGTTCCAGGGAAGCACACATTATATCAGCCGATCCGGCGTGTGAGTTTCAAAAAGCCTAGGCTACAGCCTACAGCCTGAGCTTCGGCTCAAGATGCACCCAAGATGGCCCAGGATGCCCTCAAAAAAAGCCCGAAGAGGTCAAAATCATTGATATTCAACATGCTCTTGAAGGATTTTTCTTTTTCGGCCTTCTGACGGCCCCAGAGGCCCCCAAGATCGCCCCAGAAGCCTCCAAGATGGCCATATGACCGCCCAAGAGGCTCCTAAGACGCCCCCAAGAGGGTCCCAATACGGCCCCATAGACCCTCAAGACGGCCAAGATAGCCTCCAAGACGGCCCTGAAGCGCCCCGAGTGCTCCCAGACGGCACAGCGAGGCGCCCAAGACGGCTTCCGACGGCGTCCAAAGGACCAGGAACGCCCTAAGACAGCCAAAAAGGTTTCTAAGACGCCGACAAGAGTCAAGAGGCCACCTCCGACGACGGCCCCAAGAGGGCCCCAAGATGGCCTCGTAGGCCTCCAAGCGAACCCGAGCACCATCGGGATCGCCCTGTATCGGCGGCACTGGCCGGAGGCACTACAATACATGGAAGTGGCCAAAACTCAGCAGCGAGACCGAACTACCCGTGGCGAAGGTTCCATAAATGGTGAGTATGTGGGCGCTGCATATAGCGCACAGGGGGTGGCGCCAGAGGCGCCACCCGAGCGCAGATCCAAGAAAACCGCGCGGAACTCCGAACGATTACGTTCATGCCGTTGTCCCTTATTCGAATATCGGCGCTGAGCCTCCCCCCCCGTCGTCAAGAGAGGCCCCAGAGCGCCCAAGAGCGCCCCAAGAGCGCCCCAAGAGGGCGCCCAAGAGGCCATGTTTGGGGGCTTCAGAGAGAGAAGGCTAATTAAGGACCCCGCCTTCTTAGGTCGAGTTCTTCCAGGAGGGCCCCAAGAGAGCCCCAAGAGTGCCCCAAGTGGCTCTGCGAGAACCCCAAGAGAGACCCAAGATGGCTCCTAGAGACCTCCGAGAAGACACTTCCAAGGCAGAGACCTCCGAGAAAACACTTCCAAGGTGGTTGTTACACTGCATGCTTCTACACCTCCCTGATCAAGGCAACTCGCCCGGCGATCTGTTTCTGGATAGGCTGGTCGGGATACGCGAAGAGTCAAGAGCTTGACGGACATCTGCAGCCAGCCGAACCCCAGCAGCGGTGTCCCATACCCCAGCGTCGATTGGATCTGCAGAGGTCAGAGTTCGCAAAAACCCTGAGGTCCGATGCAGCGAACAAGCATGAAAAATCCTTCAGGAGCCCCGAACCCCATCGTTCTGCGCCATTTTTCGAGCTGGATCGATCTGTGAGGACCCTGGGGCCCGAAAACAGGCGAAAACGCCCAGCTCAAAAAAATGGAGACGCCAGGATCTCAGGGTGGTCGCAGACCCTAATGGGACGTACAGAGACATACTAGTACTAGAAGTTCTCCCTGGAGGCGCGCGTCCGACCCGAACATATGGTATACCAACCCATCCTGCAGTATATCTTCTCCCGAGCGGCGTGACCAGAAAGCGCTCGCCACGACGCATCTACTATAAGATATCTTGGTGCTCGCGTCGCCCTTGGGGGGGGCGACGCACATCCGGCAGGTTCGTGTCGTGACGACCCCGGCAATGGTTTCTGACACAGCGGTGACCGTTCAACCTTGAACGATCGGCCGTTTCCGCAACGTCCGATCGTTCAACATCGACCGATTCTGGGTCGCTTGCGGCGTTCAAGGTTGAACGCCGGCGGCGGGGTCGCCGCTGGTCGACACGACGCGAACCTACCGTATAGTGATAACATGTTCGGGTGACGCCGACCTGATCAGCTTCAGGACGCCCCCTGGGGCACCCCAGCTCCGGCTCGTCGTCGTCCCAGGCTGCCGCCGCCGGCGCAGCGCAGGGCGGGCACGCCGCCGCGGCCCGACCGGCGCCCGGCGGGCCGCCAGCAGGGTAGCCCCTGGCGGCGCCGGCGCCTCCTGCCGCGAGGGAGGAGGTTTTCCTCCTCCTCCTCCTCCTCCTCCTCCTCATCCTCCTCCTCCTCCTCCTCCTCCTCCTCCCCCTCCTCATCCTGCTCCTGCTCCTCCTCCTCCTCCTCCTCCTCCTCCTCCTCCTCCCCCTCCTCCTGCTGGGAGGATTGAGGATCCAGGAGGGCAAAGTTCTGGGATCGAGGCTCGAGGTTTTCGGGCCTCGGGGTGCTCTCCAGCAGCTGCGCCTCGCCGAGGGGCGTCTGGGGCGAACCCTGCCGCTGGGGCCTTCGGTGGAGCTCCTTATGGGGCCACAATCCTCGTGAGAGGTATGCCGAGATGGCCCGAGGCCACCATGCGAGCCCTGCCACTGGGGCCTTCGGTGAAGCTTCCAAATGGGGCCACGATCCTCGTGAGGGATGTATCGAGATGGCCCGAGGCCGCCACGCGAACCCTGCCACTGAGGCCTTCGGTGAAGCTCCCTGTAAGGCCACGACCAGTGCGAGGGGTGTGCCGACATGGTTGACATGCGGAGGGCAGAGGCAGGGATGGGCAGAGGCAGGGATGGGATGAGGGAGGAGGGGGATGAGAAGAGGAGGAGGAGGAACGCGGGCCGCCATACATCTCTTCGAAACGAGGACCCAGCACCACTGGATGGTTGGGAACAAATGATGACCCTGGCGCTCCAAGGGAGGAGGTGGATAAGGATGTGGAGGGAAGGAGAAGCACGAGCAGACTAGCGCAGCCTCGGAAGCAGTTTAGCAGCCGGAGGAGCAGCGAGATCAGCAGACAGGACACGGGGAAGGAGGAGCAGGGAGGAGAAGGAGGAAGATGTGATTACCCGAGCCCCGCTCAAAAATAACATGGCGCACAGGCGCAATTTATCCTGCGCCCCAGCGCGCAAACAGAACAGTCGCGCTGGTAGCCAAAAAGCACTGGGGCGTGGCGACCTCGAAACCAAATCAACTTTGCCTTAGGAAGCCACATGGGCCACACAAATGCGAAAAACATAAACCCGGGAGCCTGAAGCCTAAGATCGTCAGGTGGCCATGGCGGCAAACGGGAATACGAGTCTGGCAGACGGAAATACCCTAACTGCGTCGGACCTCAAAACTGAAACTCTATAGACGACGACGACCACCACGACGACCACGACGACCACGACGGCGACGGCGACGGCGACCACGACGGCGACGGCGACGGCGACGGCGACGGCGACGGCGACGGCGACGGCGACGACGACGACGACGACGACGACGACGACGAGGGGCAGCACGACGCCAACGGCGGTCCTGCGAAGGCGCCCGCGACTCTTCGCGGCGGCGAGGCGGGGAGCTCGACGATGCGGGCCTCGTGGGCCGGGTCGCCCCGGAACCTGCGGCGCCGCCGGCGTCGCCTTCGCCGCCGCCGTCGTCGGGGCAGCGAAGGGCAGGGGCGGCGGCGGCGGCGGGGGCAGTGAGGGAGACGGGGGCTCCTAAGCTCGCGCGTCGCGCCGCGCGGAGCGCGGAGCGGGAAGCGCGACTGACTTCGCGCTCTCGCGCCACCCCACCAAGGAGAAGGAGGAGCAGGAGGAGGAGAAGGAGGAGGAGGAGAGGGAGGAGGAGTGATGGGGACACGGAATCCAGGAAATGGAACGGTGCTCGCCCGAGACAACCGATCAGCCCCGGCCTCCCAAGAGGGGAGGGGCCGCGCACCCGCAGGCACGGAGCACACGCAAGGGGCAGGAGACAGGCAAACGCCTCGCAGCCCCGTGAAACGCCGCCTGGACGAGATGGCATGGCTCGTGGGGGAGGCGGTTGGTGCACCTCGTCACCGCGGAGGTGCTTCACGATCATCACCCTGGCCAAATCGACTGGCATGTGCAACTGGGTTAGCACCCCAGGGCGAGCGGGCACGAAGGCCCGCCCAGTGGGACTCGCAGACCACACGGCCCCGCCCCTCAACCGAATGCACAGTCCCCGTGCCTGACAGCCAGCGCGGAGCATGGCACCAGCACTACGGGCGCAGCTGAATGCCACGGCCCTGGGCAAGGTGCCACAGAGCAGACACAAAAGATGAGGAGGAGGAAGAGGCGGAGGCGGAGCGCGAAGCGCGATATCTTCGCGACCCCGCGGGTGAGCTTGGGGAGATGGGGAAGGCTGCCACGGCCTTCTTTTCTTCCAGCGCCGCAGCGGGGCGCGTTCGCGGGGTCAACGGTGGCGGGCCATGCTCACGGGAGATGACAACGACCACCTTGTGTGGAAGCCTACGACTCCCGAGAAGGAAGAAAGGGGGCGCGGGGAAATGGGTAGGCAAGACACCTGGGTAGAGGAGTAGCGATGGCGGAGGCGCGGCGACGATGCCGTCGAAAAAGACACCAGCGAGACGAGACGATGACAGAGGATGAGGAGGAAGAGTAGGAAGAGGAGGAGGAAACGAAAGAGGAAGAGAAAGAGGACATAGGATAGGAAATGGAAGAGGAATATGGGCCTTCGAAGATGAAGAGGAAGAAAAACAGAACAATCAGAAAACGAAGAACAGGACGACGAGGAGGAAAAGGAGGAAGCAGAGGAGAACCCCCGCAGGACAATTTCGGGGGTCCCCGACTTACTCTGTACTCCTGGAGTTTCGAAGGCAGCAGGAGGAAAGGAGGAGGAGGGAGGGACGAGGAGGAATCAGGAAGGGAACAAGCAGAATAAAGAGGAGGCCGGACGCAGGAGGAGGCGGAATAGAAGGAGAAGGCCGACGACGACGTCGACGACGACGAAAATGACGACAACAATGGGGGGGGAGAAGCTGCAGGAGGGGATCAGGTGGATGGAGATGAAGGAAGGCGACGGGGACATTCCAGCCGCTGCACAAGGTCTGGCATGTGATGGTCTTCTGTAAGGAAAAGCGGCGGCACAGAAACACGGGAAAAGGCAATACTGTTGCGTTGTTCGCGGAGCGCAACATGCCCCTTCCCCCTCCGTGCCCGCCCCACGAACATTGTCATGTTCATTGTCATTGCCCCTGGCCTTGCATCTTGTGGGTACTCCTGTCCTTACCTTCACTCACGAACAACACTGCGTATCTGGCTGTCACGCACTGACCACACCATTATGTCAAAGCATCACCGCCACCACCACAATCACCACCACTTCCGCCACCACCATCATCACCGTCATCAACAGCGGCATCATCATCAGCATCACCACCACCACCTCCGCCATCAACATCATCATCATCATCATCATCATCATCATCATCATCAGCAGCATCAGCAGCATCATCAACAACAACATCTGCCATCATCATACCCATCCGACTGCTGTTGCTTCCCCTTCTACTCCCCATCATCATCAACGACCAACATCACCACACTCAAGCATCATCCTGATATACCGTCCTCTTCCTCCTCCTCCTCCTCCTCCTCCTCCTCCCCATCATCATCATCATCGTCATCATCATCATCATCATCAGCATCATCATCAGCATCAGCATCAGCATCACCATCATCATCAGGATCATCATCATCACATCATCATCATCATCATCATCATCATCATCATCATCATCATACTCATCATACTCATCATCGTCGTCACCGATATTCCGCCCCCATCTTCATCCCTCCTCCTCCCTGCTCCTAATCCGCCTCCTGGTATTCTTCGCTACTCCGTAACAATCCCATCCCATCTACCCTTGTTTCCTTCGTCCTCCTCCACATGCTCCTGTTCCCCACCGTCCTCCTCATCCTCCTCATCCCCCTCTTCCCCCTCATCAAGTCATCCATGTATGCACTGATGGCAAAAAAGTTGAAGCCCGAAATGCGCAATGAAAACGACGCGTTGAGGAACAGGTTGAGCGCAGTGTACGGCAACCATGACAAGAGCACCCCACACCGCTGCAGCCAGCCCGAACCATCACATCTGCCCCCCCCCCACACACGCACACACAGACACAGACAGAAAAAAAAATCCAGCTGTGGCACGATGGAAACAGGAGAGAGGCGAGGGCCCCAGCTCCTCCTCCTCCCCCTCCTCCTCCACCTCGACCTCCTTCTCCTCACATGTTTCCTTTTCGTCTCCCGATTGTTAGAGTTATGCTTAATAGGTTCCGTCTTCCTCCTAATACTCCGAATGTGCTTAGATTTCGTCGTTTTCAAAACCTCCTTCGTAACCGCATTCGTCGTACTCGTAATGTCATCATTCGTGCTGCAAGTCTTAGTTATGTTCGTCCTGTTCTTCGTAATTCAGAATCTTAGTTTGAACGATAAGATTCGCATTCGCTTATAATGAACCCTCCTTTTCCGTGAGACTACGATGATGATTCTTTGCGTTCGAAATTATTAGCTGTATGCTTAATATTTCTATGTTTAATACGATCACCCTTCGTATTGGGTTTCCTGCCGCTGATGTAAAAATTGCAATTAGATCCGCACTCTCTTTTCGTAATATCGTCCGTTGTCTGTTAATTCCGCGCGGTGGTGCTCTCACTCGTCTGACCCAATGTGTTCAGGCAGTTGCGAGTAGAATCCCTCCTCCACCCCCTCCTCCTCCTCCTCCTCCTCCTCCCTCCTCCTCCTCCTCCTCCTCCTCCTCCTCCTCCTCCTCCTCCTCCCCTCTGTTTCCTCCTCTTCCGCCGCCCCCACTTCCTCCTCCTCCTCCTCCTCCTCCTCCTCCTCCTCCTCCTCCTCCTCCTCCCTCCTCCTCCTCCTCCTCCTCCTCCTCCTCCTCCTCCTCCTCCTCCTCCTCCTCCTCCCTCCTCCTCCTCCTCCTCCTCCTCCTCCTCCTCCTCCTCTCCTCCTCCTCCTCCTCCTCCTCCTCCTCCTCCTCCTCCTCCTCCTCCTCCTCCTCCTCCTCCGCCTCCTCCTCCTCCTCCTCCTCCTCCTCCTCCTCCTCCTCCTCCTCCTCCTCCTCCTCCTCCTCCTCCTCCTCCTCCTCCTCCTCCTCCGGCAGTCCTGCGCGCGCCCCGCGCACGAGGCAATCAGAACGCAGCACGGAGAGAACGCTGGCGGCCCGGCACACGCGCGCCACATGTTCACGCATGCACGCTAGCACGAGAAAATCCTCTCTCTTAGCGCGCCCCAAAAAATGCGTCGATCTCCGGGACACGGCACGGCGGCGACGCCGGCTGTCCGACGCGCGCCATCACAGCGCGCCCGCGCGAGCAATAAGTGTTCACCCCGCTGAGTCCCGAAGATCTCTCTGCGAGCGGGGCCCAGGCCCCCTCTCGGCAACCCGCCCTCCCCCCCCCGCCCCCTCGAGCACAGTTCGCGCGCGGCGCCCCGCTTGAGCGCGGGGGGAAGCCGCCCGATTTACCCCCGCCTTGGCCCACCCAAGCGAGGCATCGACCTCCAGGACGCAGTCCGGCGGCATTGCCGGGGGCCCTGCGATCTCTTCGCGCGCACGCCCTTACGCGAGGATATTGGCCCGCCCCCCACCCTCCGCGCCGGCCGCGCGAAGGCAAGTTCCCGCCCGCTGGGAACAGCCCCCCTCCCCGGCCCACTCCACGGACAGAGTGGAGCGGACATTTCCGGGCACGCCGGCAGCCCCACCCCAGCGCATGTTCGAGGGGGCTTCGTCTCCAGTTTTGCATTTGGGACTGGCCGCGCGGGGGCGCGCCCCCTTCCGATCGCCATCCTCGCGCGCGGTGTCTCCCCCCCCCCCCCAAGCATCCACCCGCATCCCTGCCATCACTCTGCACCTCGCTCCGCTCGCGCCCGCGGCCCGCAGGCCCGCCTCGCCGAAATGAAAGCGCTCTCTCCCGACCCCGCCCATCCTAAGCCGCCCGCCCAGGCCATGTTCCTCACCGGCCATGGCAAGCGGGCCAAGGGCAAGGAGGCAACGGGCAGCGAGGCCGAGAGCGAGGGCGGGCCGGGCCCCGCCGAGCCCGCAGCCCCAGCGCGCGCAGGCGAGCTCTGCTGCAGCTCGGGGCGCGCTGGCCGGCCCGCGGGGCCCCTCGCATCGGCCGTGCGCAGCCGCGGCCCCCCGCGCGGCGCATCCCGGGCCAGCCGCGGCAGCAGCATCGCCAACGAGGGCGGCCCCACTTCGGGCATCCGCGGGGCGCCCCCACCGCCACCGCCCCCGACGATCGGGGAGGAGAGGGGTGGAGCGGCCCCCCTATCGAGGGCCCCGAACCCTCGGCTCGGGCCCCGCCGCCCCAAGAAACTAGCACGCGACGCCCCAGCCAGCGCCTCCTCCCTGAACGAGCGGGTCGCCGGGGACCTCCCCGACTGCCGGCCCCCACCCAAAAGCTCCGCGGCAGGACGAGCCCCCCGCCCCCTTGTCTCGCCGCGGCCTCGCCCAGGCAGACGCCGCCTTTCGGGGGGGGGGCCGCGTCGAGCGAGGCCCACAGGAGGCCCGACCCACGCTCGCAACCAAGCAAAAGCTCGAGGCCATCCGGCGCGAGGTC